GCTATTTGATTTGTCATATTAAAAATAACATTTATTATATAATTTTTAGAAAATTTTACGTTAATTTCATAGTTTTAAGAGCTAGTTGCATTATATATCTATTTTTTTTTAATTACAAGTATCCCTTAAATTTGATGGAATTCGGATATATCCCAAAACGCCATAATATATCACGTCTTGATTTCGGATACATCGTTCAACATTCCGATACATCATTCAATGTCCCGATACATCGCGTATGTACCGATACATTGCGTAAAGTGCTGTATCCGAGAATAAGAGAGAGTAAGGATTTTTGTAATTTTTTCAAATGGTAGAAAATTTTAGAAAATATGGTAAATAAGTTGTGTATTTAGATAATTTTTCCTAATTTTTAAGAAGTAGTTATTTGTTTATAAAATTATTCTCTACCTTATTTAGTAGAAAAATGGTTTGAGGGGACCTATAAGGGTATTTTTGTCATTTTTATTATTCTATCTTGTGATAACTAATTTCTATACTTTTATTTTTCCAATTGGAAGGAATAATTTATCGTGGTACTAATTATTAATTATTAGTAGTAGAGACAGAATTTTGGCGAAGAATGTGTAAATTTTCTTCTCAATTATATTAAGAGTGTAGAAAATTAAATACACACTCCTAATAACTAATATTTAACTTGCGTACGCCACATAAGTTATCAGTGAAGAGTGTCCACATACCACCATCCACCTAAGATAGCTCCATTCATGCTAATCATAAAATAACTTATCTTAAAATTAGTAATCAAATAAGAGATAAAATAATATTAATTTTGTTTAGATCACATAAATAAATGTTTGTCCATCATACCAAAAGAACCGTAAATATATGGGTGGAAATTAATGTATATCTATTGCCTCTTTTATTTAATTGAGTAAGTTTGTTAGGCTGTTCACTTAGACTTTTATTTGTTTTTGAGATTGACTTACTTAGGCAAATGCACGAGCTTCATCGTGTTAGGTTTATTGACATGTTGGACATGTATTTCTCCTTCCAAAATTTTATCTCGTTAAGTTTAGGCGTGTTTCAAATACTTATCTCAGCTTTTATTAAGGGCCCCATACTCCTACGTACAAGAGATTGAAACGACTTGCTATGTCATGCATGTGGCAAATCAGAGCTGAGTCTAAGTTTAGTTAGTTAAGTAGATGAGTATTTTTAATATTGTCAATAGTTTGAAGACAAAACTATTAATTTTCGCCAAGTTCAGAAATATTTTCAATAATTATTGTCTCGTTTTATTAGGATAGAAAAACAGTTGTTTGTGCATCACATGCTCAATTTGACATTGTGTTACACAAGAATAAGTGTGTTGCTATTTTATATGGTTCTTAACTTTGACATTCAAACTCCATCACGTTTAGGATTTTTGGCATTGTGATTGTTGACTTCAACTGCCTAATATGTGACAACTTGAGCAAATTTTAAATGTTGATTGAGACCAATTTCTATTAATTGAGGTAAAATGAAATATTTCAAAATCAACAGGTATAGAATATTATTACATTTAGGTGTGAAAAAATCAGCCTACAAATTATAATTCGTTCAATTTATTTAGGTTTTGGGAGATTTGATAATTTACTTGTTTTATTAATCGGTTCGTTTGCACTTTTGCCTCTCAAAGTAATTTTTTTTACGGAGCGTGAATTTATATTTCCACATCATAATATTTCATGAGTAATGTTCTATGTCCTTAAAGAATGTATGTCTCGCTAGGTATAAGGTCAATTTTGAAGGGCAAAAATTAAAAATCAATTCATTTGAAAGACAAATCATGCAATTACACCTGTGAAAATTTGGGTAAATATTTTTTAAAAAAGATATTTTTTTAAAAAGATATTTTTTTATTTAATATTTTATACGGTCATAATATAAGAAAGTCTTATTAGATACTTAAACAAATTATAATAATAATAAAACAAAAAATTAGAATTAATAAGAATTGGATGAGTTAGGTTATTACTCGATTTTTAGCTCATTGCACCCCAATTAATCTCGACAAATAACTTTTAAATGAATCAATAACACACTCACTTATTATCTCAGCCCATTTTCACATATCCAAATTTAACCTAACACGTTAATTTGACACCCTAATTAAACCCATTACTCATTTTTGGTTATAGTTGTTAATTTAATTTGTATAAGTGCATACTTTTAACAGTGATCATTCGAATCATCACATAATAACAAATTATCAATAATAACATATTCAATAAAAATTTAAAATGATAGAATATATGGAGATATTATAATCATCACATTTGTTATTGAAACTAGAAATCCGCCGTTGATATGTATATTGCCTCAAATTACATTATTTTAAAAATAATAAAAAGGAAACTTGACTATAGATAGGGTAGGTGCATTGCATATTACTAAATTAGAAATAATATTATAGTATTCCAAAAAAAATAAATGGTGAATAGACTAATGATTTGGTCCCAATAGGTATAAATGTAACAGAAAATGGTTAAACGATAAAATGTAGGAAAAAAAAAACTATGAAAGTGTAGTTTCTTTTTCCACATTGATTAAATATTCAACAAATAAATAAAATTCAAATTTAAGTAGGAAATAATATGGCAGAATAGTAGAGAAAATAGACTAGCACTATAATTATTGTTTGAAATTGGCTTCACGACATAGAGATCTTTATAGGCATTTTTCTAAAATAATAATAATTACATTATCAGTTACCATACAAGAAAATATAATTGATGATATAAAATAATAAATTTAACTTATGCACATCGATAATATGGTACGAAGCAAGCAATCTACAATAACATGTAAAACTGACTGATAATATTATCAGTATATATCAGTTAAATTTAAAAATACAATAGATTATTAGTAGCACTATGTCAAAAGTATATTGACACTCAAAAGCAAAGCAAGTGTTTCAATTATGAATTCGTTCGAATTTGATAACTTCAATTCAAATATTATATTTTATATTTAAAATTTTATTATATAAATTGTTAATTTAAAATTGGAGGAAAATTTGGGAAAAAAGACTTGATATGTTTTTCAACTTTGTGATTTTAGAGTTGATATACCCTTTATCATAAAAATGGGTTCATATATCCTTATCTTTACAAAAATGACTCACATATACCTCTATCTTTATAAAAAAAAAAAAAAAAACTCATATATACCTTTTTCATATAAAGGATGTGAAAAAATAATTTTAAATTAACTTTTTTATTTTATTTAAAAAAAATAAAATCAAGTAGAGATATATATGATCTAGCAAAGTTCAGAGGTATACTTGATCCTTATCACATATGATTTTTTTTTTTTTTTGAACTTCTTTAATTCAATTACTAATTTGAGTTTTAAAATTTCCTTATAGTGAGTTTCTTATTCTTATTTCATTTTTTTCTTCATGTTTTAGTGTAAAAATATGATAAATAAAAAGAAAGAAGTGTAAATGAAAAAAAATAAAAAAATTAAAAAAAATAAAAAAAAAAAAAAAAAAAAACTCATATATACCTTTTTCATATAAAGGATGTGAAAAAATAATTTTAAATTAACTTTTTTATTTTATTTAAAAAAAATAAAATCAAGTAGAGATATATATGATCTAGCAAAGTTCAGAGGTATACTTGATCCTTATCACATATGATTTTTTTTTTTTTTTGAACTTCTTTAATTCAATTACTAATTTGAGTTTTAAAATTTCCTTATAGTGAGTTTCTTATTCTTATTTCATTTTTTTCTTCATGTTTTAGTGTAAAAATATGATAAATAAAAAGAAAGAAGTGTAAATGAAAAAAAATAAAAAAATTATTTGTGACTATATTGTAATTTTTTTGTGTGTTTGTACAAACTAAATTTATTATGAAATATAAATTTGACTATCAAAATAGCCGTTGAATAAAGAAGTAAAAAAAATCACGTATGAGAAGGATCAAATTTACTCATACATGATTATTTTAAAATTAAAATAATAATTTAAAATAAATTTTTTCACTTTCGTTGGATTTAAAAGATATATTTGGGTTATTTATGTAACAGTAGAAGTATATATATGAGTCATTTTTATAACAAGGAGCCACAAAATAAAAAGATATATGATACCCTTTTTTCTTTACAAATTACTCCATTCGTCCACTTGTATTTGTCATGTTATATTTTTTGAAAGTTAAATTAGATTAGATTAATTCAATATTTTAAACAAAAAAATTAGATATTAAAAAATTATACGAAAAATACTATATTGTAATTTTTTACATATCAATATGATAAAAAATACATCATAAAATGTTAGTCAAATTTATTTTAGTTTAACTCTAAAAAAAGAAAATATGACTATTAAAAATGGACTGAGTTGCTTCAAATTTTTATAACCTTCCAAATGTTAACTTCGTATAAATCAACTTATATTGAGGGGTTTGAAAAAAAGAGTATTGGAAACCGGGCAGGCAAAAGCGTGGGGCCTTCTGCACTTCATTTTGGTATAATCTTTAAAAAAACAAAATTCTTTCTTATTAGTATTATCATTATTTAGTACGGAGGTTTCTAGTTTAAGTTTTAGGTATGATTTTTTTTTATAAGGAAATGCTTTTCCTCGAGTGGGGCTTTATGCAGTGTAAATTTAAAATAGTCGAGCTCCAATAAGAAAATTGAATACCAGATGAAAATTCATATATCTCAACTTATGTGACACCCTTTCATTTTCAGTTCGTCCAAACAAAATGTCAGCTTTCTATAATTAGAAATAATTTCACTTCTATCCTTGATGAAAAATTTATAATCACACAAACGATAAAAAATGTTGGATCATAAATTTTTAAAATCTTCTTTATTTTTAAAATTTATATATAATAAAAATATCACGTAAACTGAAACGGAGAGAAGTTGTCTTTTCCATGAGAGAGAAAAGAAAGAAGGAAGAGGTATAAATGTGATAGATACTATTTTCTTTGGTGGTGGCCTTATATAAAGCAACTAAAGGATGTTATGTCTTTGCTTCTTCTTATATAAAAAAAAAAAAAACTAATTATAGAAGAGAAAGAAACAAAGAAAAAAAAAACATTATTTCATATTCTTCTAAAATAATGGAAGAACAACTAAATTCTTTAGCTGTTACTCATCTTCTTCAACACTCTCTAAGAAGTTTATGTATTCATGAAAACTCTCAATGGGTTTATGCTGTCTTTTGGAGAATCCTACCTAGAAATTACCCTCCTCCAAAGTAATTAAATCATATCGATATATATGAAATCTACTGATTCGACTAATTCAGATTCGTGTGCTGATTAATTATTATTTTTTGTCAATTAGGTGGGATAGTCAAGGTGGAGCATATGATAGGTCAAGAGGAAATAGAAGAAATTGGTAAATATTTTTTTCAGATCATATTACATGTATCAAATTATATTCTTTTTTTTATGGAATTTTTTTTAATTATAGGATATTGGTATGGGAAGATGGTTTTTGCAATTTTGCTGCATCAACGGCTGAGATTAATGGAAATGAATGTCCAGGATCATCTTCTAATAATAATTATGGAGAATATCAACATTATCAAGGTCTTCAACCTGAGCTTTTTTTCAAGATGTCACATGAAATTTACAACTATGGAGAAGGGTAATAATAGAAAAATTATGTAAAATATTATTTTTCATCATGGGTTTTTTTTTTTATATATATAATTTTTTATAATATTTTTTTGCAGTATAATTGGAAAAGTGGCAGCAGATCATAGTCATAAATGGATCTATAAAGAACCAAATGAACAAGAAATTAATTTCTTGTCTGCATGGCATAACTCTGCTGATTCTGTAAGAATAAATAATTACTTCATTATTTTCTGTTTAATAATTACGAAAATAATAACATACTCAATGAGATCTCATAAGTGAAGTCTGAGTAGGGCAGTGTATATGACTATACGCAATCTTACTCCTGCTGTGAAAGTAGAGATGTTGTTTCTGATACATCCTCAATTCGGTGTAGGCAGCCCTACCCTTGTAGAAGTTGAGAGGTTGTTTCTGATACATGCTCGACTCGAAACAAAATGTTTTCTTATGCATTTTGTGTTTTTTTTTTTTTTTTGTTAACAGCACCCTAGAACTTGGGAAGCTCAGTTTCGTTCTGGTATTAAGGTAATGTTTCTAAACTTAATTATATATATATGTCTTCCAAAACATTATATTATATTTCAAATGTATTAAATTAAAATATTTTTTGTATTTTTTCAGACTATAGCCTTGATTGCTGTGAGAGAAGGTGTCATTCAATTAGGAGCTGTTCATAAGGTATAGTATCTTTCATTCTCCTCCGTCCAAAACCCTTAAAAGACCAAAACCCTTAAAAGACCAATCAACGGATCGGAGAGTTTATGTTTTATGCACAGACAATATATAAGAAGTTATTATATTATTGTGTTATGTGGACCTATTTAACAACATGTGATTTTTGATATCAAGCCTGATATAGTAATTTGATTTTCAAAGTAATATGTTATAATTGGTTTAAAATGCCTTACTAGTGCAAAGATATTAAAATCATTATATAACATACTTGAAAGATTATTTATATGTTCTTTTTGTTTAAACTTTTTTGAAGTTTACTGGTTCGACTAATTTATGTAGGTTATTGAAGACCTAAGCTATGTGGTGCTACTAAGAAAGAAGTTTAGTTACATAGAAAGCATTCCGGGAGTGTTATTGCCACATCCATCTTCCTCAGCCTATCCTTTCAAGGTAGACGGATACGGGGCGTCACCAGACGCGTGGCATTTCCAGACTAATTTACCAGCACCAACACCAACACCAGCTGAATTATACGAACATTTCAATCAACATCAACACATGAAGATCACACCTTCAATGAGCAGCTTGGAAGCACTTCTTTCCAAGCTGCCTTCCGTCATTCCAGCAGATGTTGCTGCTGGAATGACGGGGGGTTCAATACCTACTACCTATTGTCATGAGTACCAACAACAACCCCAATATAGACCTAATGTTGAAATGTTGGGGTTAGAGAAAGTTGCAAAAGAAGAGTATGAGGAGGAGGAGGAGGAGAAGGAGAATAATAATAACGAAGAGAAAACTCGAAATAATAATAATAATAATAATAGTAATGAGAGATTAGATCATAATGGTGGTGAGAGTAGTAGTTCAATGTCATCTTATAGTCAACATCATCATAATTATCATCATCAACATTATGGTTATCATCATGATTTGAATGTAAGTAGTAGCATGCCTAATAATGGATATTAGAAGGACATGATGGTAATTAATTAAGAGTATTGTTTTATGTAATGTACTATTAATTAGATTTGTGTTAGGAAGAATTTGATCCTTTTTTTTTCTTCACATCTAACAAAGTAATAGTAGTTTCTTCCTTTCTTGTTTCACTCAGTGTTGTGGTGAATTTTGGAAATATTCCCTTCCCTACTTACTTTTTTCTGTCTACTATTACTTTTATCTTAACATCTCCAGCTTTACCAAAGTCGGAATTATTATTTTTTATCCATCACTAGTGACTCAAACTCACAACCTGTTTACCATACGAGCAATATTTGGCACTTTCAATTGATTAACAATCATTAAAAAAGAAAAAAGGAACCCTTGAACACTAAGATGGGGGAAATAGGGAAAATGATTAACTCTTTTTAAAAGAAAAAAAGTAAAAGAGTGTATACGTGGGTATAGTGGTAGGTAAAAGAGCATACACCGTACACAAAGGGGACCATTGGAAAAAGATTTATTTGGAATTTTGAAACCTTTTTGAAGGAGTTGATTGCATTGCAATGGCAAAAAAGAGTTTCTCTATGATATCACCATATATAGTATATAATAGTAATAATCATTTCAATAAGAAAATGAAATAATGCAATGGAGTTTCAATTTATTACCTCACCAAAGAACAAGAGAGACTCTTTGGAAAGAGTTTAAAGATCAATATGTCAAATATGAGGACTATATATGATCTTAAATCTTCTCTTTTTCTTTTTTCTGGAAAATGGTAGAGCAAGACATAATCAAGTACAACAAAAACATCATTGCGCTGCTCAACATTCGCGGAGTACTGCTAATCAATTTGAGGAAAACAAGTAAACTCTCAAATCAATACTTTTAACTGACAATTACAACTGAGTATGAGACCAATTACCATCCTGATAGTTGAGAAAAAATAAGGATACAAAACGAAAGTTTACTGAATCTATATTAGCGTTGAAATACAAATGGCTATCGAATGCTGAAGAACAAAAAAAAATTGACTTGTGTTGGCATGTGTTACATTCTCAGACAATGTAGGACAAAATTGAACCTTGATTGTGGACTACATCTCTTCAGTGGTATAATGCAAGAGAAACAATGCCTCCTACTGAAATGATGCGACCAGATCTTTGAAGTGAGTGAGGAGGCCGTCAACTGTCATGACTTCATGATCAGGCTTGCTTCTCACTCGAACACTCACCTGTGACATCATTTACATATAAGGAAGATCCGATTTTTACAGCAAGAATAAAGCAGTTGATTGTTGGCTACGGGATTTAAAATGAGAACTCGTGGAGGATGCATGAAGAATTACTTAAAGAAACCAAGAAAACCGTGAACGGAGTATAAATGAACTACATTACTCCCTGCAGCAAGAGCTATTGCACAGAAAGTAAAAAGAAAATTGTTGCAGAATATTTCAAATGAACCCCCACCCACCTTTATCCACTTAAATACCAGAGTTTTGTTTGTGTCAAGGTTTGAACCCATAGTGTGTGCCTAACCTACACATCACACATTGAGGTCTTACCATTATACCAAAGCCCGGGGGCAGTCAAAAATACAAATTCTTTTTCAAGTAAATCACTGTCTCAGTAGAAACATCTTGCCAAGGAAAAGCACAGAGTTGTCAAGCCAGGAGGCGAGCTGACTGACCACCAAAATGTGAAACATATTAAATACTTTAAAGTTCTCTACAAGGTCCTTCATGTTCAATTCACAAATACTTTCAATTGTGTAATGACTTCTGAAGATCTTTCTAGCCTTCTAGGTGCCATCACAGAGAAATTTGTGGCTAAAAGCTTACAACTTCCGTCACCAGAAGTCCATGACCACTAATGCTCTCTTTTCTAACCTTAACTTTCTAGTTTGCAAACGGGGTTGGATGAAGACAAACCAGTAATTTATAGAAAGTTAAGCATATTATAAAATAATAGAAGAGAACAACAAGAAAGCAAACAAGTGAACCACAAAACACCCAGATCAATACCAATGTTACATAAAGGAAATGATGATGGCTTTTAACAATTTATTCGAACTTAAAAAAGATCACTAGTGTAATGGGGCCAGATAAACGTGTGATTAGATGCTTTTTTTTTCTCATTTTGTTCAGTTACAACAACATATCCAGTGTAATCCACAAATGGAATTTAGGGATTGTGGTGTGCATGCAGGCTTACCCCTACCTACCTTGTGAAGGTAGAGAGGTCGTTTCTGATAGACCCTCGGCTCAAAGTAAAGCATTTTATTCAGTTACACATTATAAAAAGATGCATAGCAGTGCATGTTGGGGGATACAGAAGTGCAAGGCGGGGAACAGTGCAGATACCTGCCCACTACTGACTTCCGCTTCTCCAACAACTAGAATATAGTTATACTGTGCCATTTGAGCCTCTCGTACCTGCATATACATTAACATCCATAAACAAGCATTTCTTTCTAGCAGGCCAAGAAAAATTTTGGATTTGAGATTTAACTTGTATTGCTTGAGAGAAATTTTTCAGATCTTCAAGCATATATAGCTTCAAAGCTGAAAGCATCACATTGATCCAATCTCAATCATGCATGCTTTCAGCAGTTCAAAGTACAGGATCCGATATACAGAAAATTTCCACATTTAACTGTTACTCTGTGAATGTAACGTCGCCACTTTTTTTTTATTTTTCAGTCCACTAGTAAGCTTTTCTGGTAGCCTTTCTGAAACCAGATGTAGCTTTAAAAAATCAGGAGAATAGAAGTCTTTGCCAATCCTTAATATGCCACCAGTCCAGTCACAAAAGTAGGTAACCATTATTGACTTTAGTTGATACATCAAAACAAGGACTTAAAAAACATAATGTCTGTTATTGGAAGGATCTGTCTTTTATGCCAAGTAAATCTCCAAATAAACTTAGCTTATGTCACACCCCGTAGTCCATGGATGTAGGTAGATCCACTTTAAAGAAGAGGAATTGATAAAATTGACCATCATTGAATTTGCCAAAATCTGAAGGGCAGTATGACTATTTATCAGTTACAAATTATAAGATCACGTTGAGCATCCTAATGATTTCAACAGTGCAAAGCACAGACTTGTGAACAAGACCAACGTCATAAACTTGCCAAGTTTTGTGGACTAGCTATCACAATAGTGCCTTTATTTCCTTCTTATAGAGTAAACTCTCTCAACAAACAGGGAAAATCATTTACTTAGTCTTTAGGCCTAAATACCGCTGAGAACTAACAATAAGTTCAAACAAAAATTGCTAAAACACTAACCTTTTTCTGGATTGCAGAATTAAAGATAAGTTCATATAAAAAATTGATAAATGACCTTGAACTAGTGCGGACCAGACATGCATTCTACCTGATAAACTACATTACACTAACCTTTTTCTGGATTGTAGAATTAACGATAAGTTCATACAAAAATTGCTAAATGACCTTGAACTAATGCGAACCAGACATGCATTCTACCTGATAAACTACATTACACTAACCTTTTTCTGGATTGTCCTGTCACTGGTATCAACATCAACATAATAACCAGCATCATGTATCCGCTCCCGAAGCTGAATAAAAGACAAACAAAAGGTTGATGCAATTTCATAATGGATGAACTATAGAGGAAACAATAATTCATGAAAATGCTATTCGTTAGATGAAGTACGTTAATGTAACTACCTCAAATGCATACGACAGAGATTTGTCGGAAACAGGGCAGACCATTGCTTGACGTGGACTAAGCCAGAAAGGCCATTTCCCCTTGAAATGCTCCAAGAGAATAGCGAACATGCGCTCAACTGATCCAAGTATAGCTCTATGTATCATAACTGGTCTCTCCCTCTTACTTTCATCTTCTGCTGAGTATGATAGGTTGAATCGTTGAGGAAGTTGGAAATCAAGCTGAAAAGGAAAGCATTCAGATGATTCAGATGATATTTCCAACTTGGTGTAAAAGCCCTTGCTAAGAGAGCATGCAGGTAAATGGAATTTCAAAGGTGAATGATCTTTTTCCTGGAAATGACCAAGGAAAATAAGACCAATCTCTAACCTGCAATGTTGCACACTGGAATTTCCTTTTCATTGCATCAGAAACAGTGATATCAATTTTTGGACCGTAAAATGCTCCATCTCCTTCGTTGATCTGATTGAATGGGATTCTTTTAGTATAAGGGAATATTAAAGCAATCACAAAAAGAAACAGACAAAAAATAATGACACAACAGGGTGACTACCTCATTTTTCATACATAAGACAGAAAAATTGTGCTCCCCCCCCCCCCCCCCCCCCCGCTTTTTTCGTGTTTAACACCAACAAC